CGTAATTACCAAAAAGGCATAAACCCCCTTTTTACCTTGAGGAGTTCCGCGTCCCAAGTCTGAAAACACGTATTAACAGTTAGTCTTCTCCTTGGAGGGACGATCCGGTCATCGTGTGTACAATTTAGGATCTGCTACATGGGTGAAAAATAGAAAAGATAATCAAGAAGAAACGATTTCAGGTGGAAAAGCAGACGAGATCGCACGGATGAGACGCGGAGAAGCCGAAAGGAGAGCTCCCCAATCGGCCTCCTCTCAGCACTGCTCGGTCTGGCCCGAACACAAAACTGGGCGGAAACTGCATATCGGGAAGCTCGTTTCAAAAGACCACTCACCCAGAAAGCGAAGTGAGCAAAGCCAATCTGCTCGCTATTTTCTCGTCTTGGCTATTTCACGCTTCGTTTTCAGTAATTTATTTCATCCTCATTTTATAATGTTGCTTAATTTTTTTCCCCTTTATATCTTGCACGGAAGGAGCACGGTATCGGTGCAGTCCGCAGCAAAGGACCCGGCACACATATTACTTTTATAACTGGGATTGACAGAGGGCGTACCGATTTACACCTCGGTCCTCATTAAAAACTAATAATTTATTTCTCATAAAAGAATCGCATTACAAAAGACAGTTATAAAATTTGTGTGATAAGTACAAGGCTGAAATGACAATACTTGTTTTTATATAATTATAAATTATAATATACATAAGCTGACAGCCTTGTTGCAGTTATTGCTATTTATTTACAATTATGTCCTCGATAAGTGAGGGAGGGAGCCACAAAAAAAATTAACGGGCCTAGACTTTGTGCATTAAATATACTATTCGTGTTTCAGGACGTTCCAGGAGCAGTTAAGCAGGGGGACTACTACAGGGTTTAAATAGGCTCTATAAATATACCCCGGGTGCGCTGGAGCTTACGTCATTGCAATGCGGGTCTCCGATTTGCTAATCTACTGTCTGTCATTTCCGAGCTCGGTGAGTGGTGCGCTCACGGCTATTGGAGGTATATTGGAGGCTCACGGTATTGGAGGCCGGAAGCCCGCTAGAGTCGCCGAAGGTGACGTCAAGGAAATTGGGATCGATGATTTGCTGATGCCCCTGTCAGTCACTGAAAGAGCTACATGGAAGCTACCTTGTCGGATAAATATAATTGGAGGATAGATGAATAGCTGCAACACCTGTGGGGCTTACGTAACGCGGGTAAAGGTCTGCGAGAGACGCGGCCTCGCGGAGTAGCCGAGTTTGCAGATTAGCTGGTAATGATATCTATACTCTGTTTCTATGAGAATGAAAGTTAAATAAAGAACCCCTAAATTATCTCTTTGGTACCTTCGATTGCTACATTGTATAATACATTTGGTGCATCTAGCAGTCTGGCGAATTCACATCTGAAGTGCGGTAGGTTTGGTTTCAGTATTAGATGAGACCCTTATTCATAGTTGCAAAATTTTACATTGACAAATGCCGCTTCTTGAAAACTACTCCGTTTTTTGTTGGCTTTAAAAATGAAGTTCTCCTGTGGACGGCATCATTAGACTAATGTAACTTAATTGTAACTCACACCTTGCTTTTCGATTGATGTAACGAGATTGTACAGTATGTGCGTACTTTTTGTTTTTTGTCTTTTGTTTTTTTATCCTTATATGATAGGTCACTTTACAGTACTTGTATGCTGCCTTATAGTATTCCTGACCTATACTATTCTTTTAATGCTCTTTTTTTTGACAACTGCCTTGTTCTTAACCATTTAGTCTTGTATATTGCTTTTTGTTATATTGTAAATGCACTATATTGTTATCTTGTTTGAGAAATTTAATAAATAAATAAATAAAAAAGTATTAGATGAGACCAACTCAGCCTCAAACTCCCGCCCCCTAAACACACATGGTACTCCCACAATACTGGTAGGGACATATATATCCCTACCATCCATACCTATATCTACACCCTTGGGTCAAAAGGTATCCACAAATTTCTGCAGAATTTATTATGTTTATTTAAAAGCAGATTTACTTGATTATTTCTACATTGTCATTGACACATGTACATAAGTTTTAACACCGTTTATAATGACACTATGCAAAGTCTCTTATCTAGCAAGACAAAAATTGAACTGATTGTCTGGTCAGAACCAGGTACTGTCCATCATCTGGCTAATACCAATCCGATGGTGAAGCATTATCCTGGCTGAATCATGTTGCAGGGGTGCTTCAGTGGGACTGGGAATCTGGTCAGGACCAAGAAGGTAAACTAAGCCAGATCCTGAGAAGTCCATGAAGAAAACCTGACCCGAAGTGGACACAAGCTTGGATAACCTTTAGCATGGCAATCCAAAGCACACGGCCAAAACAATGCTCGAGTGGCTTCAGGTACAACTGTCTGGATGTCCTTGAGTGGCACAGTGGAAGTGTGGATCTTCAGTGGCGAAACCTGAAGATTAGAGAGGGAGCTGAGCAGAAATTTAAAAGACCTGTGAGGAAGAATGGGAGAAATTGTCCAATCTGTCCAGGCGTGCAGACCTGGTAGAAACAAATCCAATGAGTCCCGCTGCTGTACTAGCTGCTGATGGTCCTACACAATAACGGATAAAGGATTGAAATATTTCTGTAAAAGACTTAGCAGGAAATATGAGTTTTTATTTGTAATACATTTGCAAAAATCCTGAAAAATTCATTAGAAGGTAAATAATGTGTATTTATTATTTATTGTGGCAAATAAGCCTTGCTCTATATAGTAGTGTGTTTGAAAGTGCTTCAAACAGAAGATGTGTCCTTCCAGATAAGGAAACTTATACCTGGAATTCTTGATATCATATGTAAATTTAAATGGAAAGTTCAATAATGCATGTTGAGGATTTGCATGCATACCTTTTAATGTTTACTGGCAGAAAAAAACTATTTCATGTCATATCACAAGTATTATACCCTATTTTTGATTAGTAGACTTGTGCATTTAGGTTGACTTGGCTGTAATTTCAAATTAAATATTGCATAAAGGGATAATGTCAATGTGCAAACAGATGAATAAACTAAATGTCTTGTGATTGATAGTCCTGTTTAGGGGAAAACGTTTAGTGAGTTTCTTAGTTTATATGACTTGACATTAGTTTTGAGTTACCAGAACCGTGTGGTGGTCCTGTTGAACATATTTTTGTTTTATATCTCAAAGGGGTCAGAAATCAGCTCTGCTTGTATTGAATTTTTATCATGTTACTCTGTTGCCAGAATTTGCCCCATGCTCGAATAGCATACAGCTTCAAACTCTTGTCTTTTAGGATCTAGGATCTAGGATCTAGAACAACATGACTGCAATCTAGAACATTATAATATTATTGCTTTTGAAATGGAAAGCTCAGTGATATGTTTTTATTTGGACGTTCACAACTAGCACCACCATTTCGTTGTTCCCTTGTTTTAAACCCATTTAGTTACTTTGATTCATTTAACTTCTGCAGCCGATGATTGATTATTCACCATTGGAGCAGAGGAGAAGGTCATCTCACTTGAGAAATCCTAGCCAGCAATGACAGATGTTTCCATTAATGCTGAAATTATGTTTATTCCCTCTGGGATTCGGGGTCTCCCTCTGCAATTAAGCGCCTGTGATCAGTCAGCGTGTTAACATGCTACTCAATTCATGTATATATAATAAACTGCTGAATAAAGGCTATTTCCTTGCTTTAAAATACAAACCATGGCTATACAAAGGTTGGTTGAGTCCTGGGCTCCTCCCTAAAAGATCCTTCTTAGACTTGAGGATGGAGGGACCTGTATTGTGGTTGTACACCCCTTCATTTCTGATAAGTAGTTCATTCCACCATCTCTGTAATTAGACATCCACTCTGAAATGACAACCAGAAATAAAACAGACCCTTTTCTATCATACTACAGACCTCTATGTTGTTTCAAACAGAACAACGTTCTGTCTATAACAGCTTTCATACGTTTTATCGTATGATTTAGATTAGTTTGTTTTATAATATGGCTTGCCTGTAATTAAGTTTACGTTTGGCTGAGCAATGAACAACAGCAATGCAAGAACCAGTCTGGGAAATCTATTCTGTGTTAATTAAAGCCACACATGTTCTTGGGATCCAGCGGTGATTAGCATATTAAAATGTAGAAAGCTGAAGAAGCATTAATTTATTAGCACGACAGACACAGCATAAATCACTAAGGAATATTATCTTAAAGGTAGGCCCATAGCGCGGGTAAAAAATACAGTAAGTTCCACAACAGTGTAATTCCTATATGTAACTGACAGGGGGCAGCATAGCATTGGTTTCCAGTGATGAGATTTTAACTGCATTAACCTTCACAGTAACCACGTCACCGTCAGGGTTGTCAGCAGATTGAATTCATATTTATACAAATGCAAATCTCCCATTCATATGAAGCCTTCTAAAACGCACTAACATACAGTCAATAAATTTCAAATTTCCTGAAAAAAAATCACAATTATACAGCAGAGGACTTCCCGGTGGTTGCCCTCAGCACAGAAACTGGAGTATGAATACAGTACGTGTGTGTGTGTGTGTGTGTTAAGCTCTTGGATGGCATGCAACTTTTTAATTACATATTTTAAATGATAAAATACAAATATTAATTATATACTTTAAACAGGCAACCAAAAAATTTAATATAATAATTAAACTAGCTTCATACCTACAGAAGGGTGATTAAATATATAGTGATTAAAATAATTTCGTCTTAGCGTCGCGTGGTCATAATTAGTGCTTCAGTCCCCATAAGTATTTAAGAATTAATGAGAATGTGCTTAAGGGATTAAGCTGCTCAGAGGTTCTTCTTGCACTTGCTGCGTTTTTATTTTTGTCACTTTTTAATGTTGTGGGAGGTCGTGCGCGACCTTAGCTATTTGGTGGCCAGATCCAGTTGCTATCTCTCACCAATCAGCACCGCGGCTCGCAGTTTGCGTGCGTGAAGGGGAACCGCGTCGTGCGTCACTCCGCCGGTGCTGCGCTCGCGACGAAAAGGGCCATTCGCAAAGGCGGAACGGAACGCGCGTGCCCTCCTGTCGAACGAAGCCAGCGGCATTGTCGGCTCCGGATGCCACAAGGCCACCTGCGTATCTCTGGAATCCCCCGCCATCCCGGCAATGTTTACATCGCAGGAACGATGCTCATTTGTTGGCTCAGGTGGGATTTAATTAAGTAATTGAATTAAGTACCATTGTAACAGCATAGTAAACAACCCCTGGCAAGGAGGTCACGTACTGCCTGCTATGTGTCCCACAGGAACGTCCTGTTACCTAGGTGACGCATACTAAATGACATCGTTGTAAATAACATTAATTTTAGCCAAATTGAAAAGACGCTCATAATTGAAAATGACCAGTGCATCAGGTACCACATGACCGTATCCTGTAGTTGAAAACTGCAATTCCTAATGACGTGGTATATCCTTTTTTTATTAGTGCAACGTTGCTGGTTGAAATCCTTTATCAGCAAGGTACTGGCCCCCAAACACTGTTCCCTGGGTGCTGAATTAGCTGCCTACTGCTATGTCACGATGTCGCAAATGGGTTAAGTGCAGGGGACACATTTCGCTGTTGTGTGCTGTGGCATGTCAGCGATGACAATTAATCACTTTCACAAGATTAGACCTGGGTGGGCCTAGTAACTGTGACCACTAGGGTTGCCAACCGTCCCGAATTGTCCAGGACATCCCGTGAAGGGACAAATCAAAATCACCCATATTTCGGGATGTCCCGGACAATTCGGGACGGTTGGCAACTCTAGTGTCCACAGTCAGAATAACACCCATCCTCTTTCATTTACTGGTGCTGGACAGTGTTATCTGAGGTTTCTACCCAGGCTGAAAGTCCCATTAGAAAAATCTGAATTGCTGATCAAAAGTAAAATTCAGTCATCAAATGTAGTACAGTAAACCACAGCGTGTTAGCTGATTCACTTCAGGCGATGTCTGCCTGTATAAATGATATGGTGCAACTCTGTGTGTGTGTGTGTGTGTGTGTGTGTGTGTTTTCTCCCACACCCCAAGGACGTACCGTTGAGGTAGACTGGTGTCTCTGATGTTCACTTAGTCCGTGATTGTGTGTGAATGTTTGCCCTGTGTGTCCTCGTACATGTTCCCAGATCACCGTAACATCGTATTTAGATAAGCGCTTTGGGGTAAAACTGGCAGCGTGAGAAAGTGTAAAACTACTGGTCCGAACATCATTTTGACTAAATATTTGTCTAATATTCTTTTTCATACTTATGAGATTCACATTCTCTGAGCGCCATGCCTGAATTCTATAAACCAAATAAGCTAACCAACTGAAAAACATTTAGTTTGTCCAACAATTATATTAAAAAGAGCAAACTGATTAGGGGCAACCACGACTGAGTATGTTATTCACACTTTACAGCTGCAAATCCGGCATGTCTATCCCCTCGCTAACAAGAGCAGCATTCAGCATGCAGAGTCGGTGCTCTCTGACATTAAACATCCAGTATAATGTGGAGGTTTGCAGGCACGGAGGATGGAGACAGAGCCTCTGGATGAGCTGGCGAGGTTTCATCGATGGTGCAGCTTTGGTGCTCCCTCGCTCCCCTCCTGTGTGGGATACAGAGCTGTCCCGTAGGTTTTACACCGATGCTCAGAATATCCTATCCCATACCACTTCCCATGAGACAGTGGAAATGTCATATCTCACAAAGAGATCTCTGAACACTGAAAGCCTTCCCAAGATCCCAAGATGAGTATTCAAACTGCGACTCTATGACCATATGTTATAATAAGACAATATAATATGTAATTGTATTAATGTATTTCTATCATACTATATAATATACAATATAATACAATATAATAATGCAACATCATTCATAGAAAAACAGGCACTGCAGTACCCCATCCAGTGGGAAATTGTCACTCTAGCATCAGCTAATCAAATGTTACTTTGCTTAGTGTTCCTAACCTTCAGCCTTATATTGTGGGTTGGGAACTGTGTGCATTGCGTAATTTCCTCAGCCAAGGACGTGATTTGGCTCAAGGGGTGCAATGGTCTGTCCCACAAAAAACAAGATAGAAAAATATGAATTACGGCCAGTATCTCCTACTGATAGAGAAATGACACCTTTTTCCAAAGATAATAATCTGTCTCTGAATGAAGCAGGTAGAAAGTCAGTAGATTGGCCGTAACGATATTTTTCCAGGGCCGAACCCCATTACTCTCATACACTATAACCTTCCGTATGTGTGCTGATAGGCACTATGGATGTCTTTCTCTTACTCGTGTGCCTTGAAGGACCTTCTCAGCCTCGGAGGCAGCTGGACAGGCTCGAGCTCGTATGTCATGCCTCGAAGAGAATCGTGACAGATCCTGCAGTGCCGTGGTACGGCAGTGTGGAGGCAGCTGTGAGCTGGCGATGATGTAACTTGCAATGTGAGTAGCGATTAGCAATTAGCTGTCCCTTCGCTGGCGGGAATTGACTTCATGAGGTTAAAGTACAGATAATTTAGTTTCACTTTTTACTCTTTTTCATTGTGCTTTATCTAATTATATAAACAGATCAATAGAGTACATAATAGAATAGGCAGCATGTGATGCAGTGGGGAGTCATGCTGTTCCTGCCTGGGATGAGCATATAGGTGTGGCTTCCCAGTGGGACTCTGGTATCTTCAACATAACTCTATGCTACCTGGGATTGGCTCCAGATGACCCTGTACTGGATGAGCCATCAGAATATAGATGGAAAATGAAGATATATATAGAATTTATTAATCATGCACTAATAGATTCTGGCATTAATTTCCTTCCTTTAAGTTTTCTTTTATAAACAGCAGAAAGGCTTGAAATCATCATAGAAATAATGTGTCTTGATGAATGATAGAGTCAAGTTATTGTTTTATTAATAGTGGTTAAAAATATCACCTCCAGCAATATGAAGGGTCTCCCTTAAGCATGGAATTCATTCACAGTGGCCAGCATGGCCACAGCTGCGGGATCACGTCGTTTTCAAGCTCACAAAACCATTCAGGGACCTTTTGTGCCCTGTGGGTGGGAACACTGTCATCATGGAAGGTTGCACTGCTATCTGGAGAGGAATGATTCACCACAGATCACGTAGAATGGCTTAGGATTTCCTGATAACTACCTTGACCTCGAATGCGCTGAGTGGAACTAAACTGCGGAAAGTTGTCTGCACACTATAACAGCATCTCCAAGAATCAATGATTCTATCTATCTATCTATCTATCTATCTATCTATCTATCTATCTATCTATCTATCTACCTACCTACCCCACTCTTTTATCTTCCTTTACCTCTCTGCTAGCCATGATGCTAATCATGATAGGATGTTAAGTGGCAGTGTGCTAGGAGTTGCTTTCAATACACTCTGTATCATTTGCTCTGATATTTCAACCTGTTTTTTTGGTCATCTGTATGACAGGTAACGTCATCGCATTGGCGCCGGGGGGGAGGTGGGGGGATCCAGTTATGTTTGCCTTTATTCACGGTGAAATTGATTTATCTGGAACACGCTTTCATCCAAATTGGTTTACAGGTCAGGGCAGACAAAAATAAGTACATTAAACACACAAAGGGCCGAGTGAAGCAAATAATCAGTCAGTGTGGAAAGTCTTGGGTAGCAGCAGTTGCCTCCATTGTGATGCGCTGAAATCTTATGTATAACTAACAGCATATTTACAGTGCTTGAAGTGGGAAAAAATAAGTGCAGGAACTCTAATTTTCTCGGGCCACTGTCGCTGCGTCGGATCAGTTTCAGTAAGTACCGGAACGCAGAAAAAAGTGGCGGAACCCAAAAGACGAAAATACAGAAGTTCCGGAACTGCGTTCCACTGCGGCCCACTTCAAGCACTGCATATTTACATATATACATGTGAACCTTTTTAAGGTGCAGTTAAACTCTGTACTGGAATCAGAACTCAAATCATAAACAACATGCAAGAATAGTGACCCCATTACAAATTCAATGACTGTACCTGAAGGCACACGTTCAGGGAGATAATGGAAAATACTGGATTAAACATATGTATACAAATACAGAGTGAATACATGAATTTAACCTATACATACTGAATATAAGGCTATGCTGAGTTCCTAAGCATGAATTAAAAGGAGTGAAATAGGCTGAAAAAAATCTTTTATTTGGTAATAAAAAATACCTTGGCTTCAGGGACAGCCAGCCGTCTGGCCTGAGGTATTCCTGTACACTGCACAGACCAAGTGCACTTTCAGCACCCTCTGTATTTCTGTGGGAAATATTTTTCTCTGGTCCCACCGCCCCTTTAAAAATATGGACGTAATATAAAAATATCTGTGCCGATAAGATTTCACCATACGGTGCTGGAGGAATTAGATCATTTCTATAAAGGGTAACACATCTAATTTCCATTTGGCAGATACATTATCACATATTGGCAATTGTATTTTTACACTGGAATAACTGAATGTGGTTTTAGTTAATAAGTATACATTAATCTGAAAACTTGTGTAATTAGCATTGTCCGAGATTGCTTTGCCATATAATGCTTGACTGCAGTCCAAATCAGCAGGCGAAAGGGCGCCAGGCCGTGGAAAGGAAACTCCTTTTTATATTTACTGGGACAAGAGCTTGTTGCTCCTAATATTAACATTATGGGAAAGAATTTGCATAGTGAATTTTCAATGCAAGATTAATTAAAGGCAACTATTGCGGGAACATGTTCATACAAGCAACTGTACATTTAATAAATGTGCCTTCGCTCGCTTATATATGTATAAATTAAAATGCTAATGTGGCTATGAATTATTCATAATAAATAATCATTATGATCCTTAATTATACAAGGCCACATTGTAAATTGTGTAATTTGTGTTGGTGTATTGTTATATTATTATTTTATGATAAAATAATTCTCCACTTGAGATTCAGGGAGGGATTTAAAGGTCCATATATACAGTTGTTATTGTATATATAGTGTTTTGAGCAATGATTAGTCAGAGAGGATGTTAATGAAAAATGCTGTGTGACTCCTCTAGGACCAGGACTCCCCGGAAAGCTGTTTCATCATCTTCCCGCACATAACAGGATCTCTCTAGAGCTGTGGCCCTTGAGTCCAGTCTGGAGTCTACATATGAAAGGACTCACTTCAGTTTTGACTCAGACTCGAACCCTTGTCACATGAAAAAACTTCTCGAGTCCATGTCTGCAGCCTGTATGCAGCTGTCCCCCCCCCCCCCCATTTTCTACATTAGCTTCAGTGTTTTTCCAGTATTTTGCTCGCACCCACAGAGTTAACTCCCATCCTCATCATGTCTGCCAAGTCAGAAATGATCTGTTTCGCATATATAAACCATAACAAGTTTCTGTGAAAGACATCCGCTATAGAGAAGCACACTGCGGAGTGCAAGTGTTGCAAAAAATGATTTCTTACTTGAAAATAATTATTAGGTCTTAGGTCATTTTAAAGAAATAATTTAAAATTAAAGATTTCAGATATTTTTTAAATGTATAGTTTTTGAATTCAGGTTTGTGGTCTAGAATTGAACTTGTGTTTTTCTGGACTCAGATGCCCAGCTCCGGTAATGGACACGCTCTCATCTCAGACCTGCCCCCGTCGGACTCGGTCTTGACTTAGTTTGTTAAAGAATTGGTCTTGACTTGAACTTGACTAAAGTGGCCTAAGAGCGGAACACAACACTGCCACTCTCTCGTAGCGCTTGATATAATTACACCGCGTTATATACGAATTATGCAGGCAAACAAAACGACACAAGAAGTGAATCTGCATCTTTGCACCCTGTTGCCTCATTATGACGTCTGTTCTGGTTCCTTCCTTCCATTTTCTGTGCCCACTTGACCTATTCAGGGTCACAGAGCAGTAACTACAGCCGCAAGGCAGGGAATAACTCAGGATTGGGCACCAACATCTCAGGACACAAAAGCTAGTCACACCTATGGACAGTCTGGTAACTCCGGTTCAACTTAGCATGTTTTTGAACTGTGGGGAGAAACTGTAGAATGCAGAGGAAATCCCACAATGACATAGGGAGACAATGCAAACTCCACACACAGAGCCAGCCTGGGGACTCGAACCCTTGTCCGAGATGTGTGAAGCAACAGTACTAACCACTGTGCCCAGCTCTTCCAATTCTTATAGTCATATTAAAAATGTATATAGACCTGCTTGTAAGGACTTACCCACTTTATATAAACAGGTAAATGAAAACATACCTCACTATTTTGCAACATGTTTATTGACAATTGCATATAATTAAAAATAATTGCAACTGACAGCAAATAAATAATGTATGTAAGTGTGTCTCAGTTCTATAGCAGCTTAAATTCAGCCCCTTAAATGTTGCACATCCAGTAAGAGAGCTCAGTACTCTGACTTGAAACATCTGGTTTGAATTTCGAGCGTGCTAGGCCCCCGTGCTCTTCCAGTTTCCAGATGTTTCCAATCAAGTGTCCTCCAGGAGACTGGCCCCCTCCTACCCCCTTCACCGCCCATCCTCGGGGCCCCCAGACGGCAGTCAGGGATGGGGCACGTTCCCTTTCCTGAGCCCCATTCCTCCAAACCATTGCAGTAGATGCCTTTCAGAAGAGGTCACCCCGCCTTGCCACATTAAAAAGCAGAACTTTCAGACCAAGCATGTTATCAGTGATAACTCAGAGCTACAGATATTTTTTTTTATCACATTGAAAATTAAATCCAATTGAAATTATTTATGAATAAATTGCCCATTTTTTGGATGCTCTTTCCTTTTGTCACGCCGGTTAGCGCCCGGAGCGCAGACAAATGCGCAGGAAGCCAGGAATCGGGGAACACGGGGTTTAATCACACGAAAGGCAAGCAATAACAGATTGACAATACAATGACTGGACTGGGGAAACAAACGGAAACACAGACTAAATACAATGGACTAATGACAACAATCAGGAACAGCTGGTAAACACTGGGAATCCACACGGGGTTAACGAGGGAGCGTGGCACACGGAAGGAGTGGACGATCGGGGCAGGACACCTTTCTCATCTCAATACATTGCCCCATAGTACACATTCAAAATATCAAGACATATCTTTCATTCATACTCCTAAAGCAAGTATTTCTCTTATTATGAAATTGTTTATGGAGTCTTTGCAAAGGGTTGGATTATCTTGTGAATCTTTCCAATTTTTTTCAATGTTCATAACTACGGAAATTTACCGCGAGCATGTGGGCAAGATGGAGAGACATCTGTATTTACATGCTGACACCATTAATAAAAGTAAAAAAAAAAGAAATGTTAAGGACACGTGTACCTTTAATATTATCAAGAACCTTTTCAACAGATGGGCCACACCCTGCATTCTGGGTCAGTCCCTGCTTGCAGCTTAAATCAACCACAGGTTCCTAGACGAAAAGGGACCCCCCCCCCCCAACAGTCCACCCTGCCCTGCCCCCACCCATCATACAGCCCTCTGAAAATAAACCATTCTGTTAACCCTCAATCTACACTTAGGGCTGCACCTCAGCCTTGGGAAATTTTAACCACTGTGCTGTGAGAGGAATTCTATGCGCATATGTGATCATTACATCACAGTCCCATAAAACAGGGACACGGTAAAAGTTAGAAGTTCTGCCAATTCAAACACTTGCCTTTAATCTTTTTGTAATGTACAATACTGTGCAAAAGTCTTGAGCAGTGAAAAAAAATGCTTAAAGCTATTTATCTGGCTACTAAGTGTATATTTGCTCAGGGAAAAACACAATTTAGCATTAAAATCTATGAAAATGAACAATAACTTGAGAAAAGTAAGAATTTCTTCTGTTCTCCAAAATGTTACTGATATCTTGCTGGATGGCTTGATGAACACCGTCTTCCCAGAACTCTCCTCAAGGGCACCTCATCTCATTTCATTAAACTTCATCAGCAGTTCACTTAATTAATTAACTTAATTAGTGAAATAAATAACGTGATGAGGTATTGATCAGCCGAACATGGTGTGCTAGTGGTCAAGAAAACAAAGTTTGTGTTTGTGTAGGGATGTGGGTAAGGTCATTCCATCCATATTTGATGTTCCAACCTTTTTTGTTGCTAGCCATCTCAGACCCGGTCCAGTGGGGAGCACTTTCACCGCCTCTCCTTGGCTGGGCCTAGCAGGTCGCCCTCATGCTCCTCTGTAGGTTTGAAGAAGCGGCTGGAAGGACTCCAAAGTGGAGGGGGGGCAAGAGAGCTGTCATCATCCCCTTTGAGCTGGAGCAGAAAGTCGCAGAAGCGCCGTTGGAAGGAGATTAAAATAAAACTCTGTTCAGATGAAGAATGGAGAGAGGGACACATTTCAGTAACACTGAACACGGTCGCCATGCCAACCAGGACTTCAAGATTCAAAGCAGGGTGTCCCTGCAGCTTTCTGTGAAGCATCTCTCCAGAAAAGTGTTCCTCAAACCAAAACTACCGCAAGGTCCAATATATCACTTCCTGATTCCTGATTGTTACCGAACAGCTCAGAAAGATTTGGAGCTCACCTAAAAACTTTACCTCTAAATATATGACATTTAAGCCCACAAAGTTCTGTTGCTATTCTCAGTAGACGTATTTGTATAGTATGGCAGTCAGTACTTGTTAAATTGCAGGTGCACAGTATGATTCCTGCACTAAAATGTATATGTTAAAATAGCTCTTGCAAAAACTGGTGCCGGTGTGCCATCACAGGTTTTCATAATTTTGTGTTTTTGACCATAATTTTCCATTGTGGAATAGGGAGGTGCAATGGGTAAAGTCGATAACATATGAGGACCTATATTCAGTGTGTATGCATCTTTATGTAATATCTGGCAAACTCAGGTTCTCTATGTAGTGAGGCCTGTGGTCTACAGTTCCATGGTCTTTGCCCATGGTTGGGTGGTCATGGGTTCATGTCCCATGACCAGCAGAATAATTATATCACTGTGGGGCCCTTGAGCAACGTGCTTCACCCCAATTGCACCTTCGGACTACTGAGCCTGCTCTCTGATCCTCACTTGTATGTATGTCACTTTGGACAAAATCATTTGCTAAATAACTTGTCTTTTTTAAGTATCAGAGAGCATTGTGTATAGTAGATGCATAAATGTATGTAAAGCACTGCAATCGGGCACACAGTCCTCGGATTCTCTCGCTCCACCCACTATGTCCAGTGAATCACATCTGGTGGCTTGGTATACCTTATTAGAGCGGGGGGCAGCAAAAGGTGGAGGAGGAGGCCAAGGTGAAGAAAAGGGTGGAGGAGGAGGAAAAGAAGCAGAAGAAGAAGAAGTGCTGTCCTTACAGCAGGAAACGTAGCATATTAGCTTTCTGTCCTCTCCTTGTCTTTTGTGGGGATTTGGCCACTGAGTTGTTGCTCATTGGGAAGTGATTTTAACATCAATTGGATGATTAAGTATATTTAAATTTATTTCCATAATCTTCATAATTGGGGACCTCTTCGCTAGTTGAGTGCCCACTGAGTTATCTGTTAATACCAGCTCAATAAGTATGTGAAAAATAAAGCAGGATTTTACGGTTATGGGGTGTGTGTACATGTGATTATTAATTCTAATCTAAACTGGAACAGAAAATCCACAGTTTAAAGAGCAGAGCAACTGTCCTATTAGGAGGGACCTGATAAAAGGGTCTTAGCGCATGTTCGAAAATAATTCTAAATTAGCAGCAAACAATGATAACTCCCCCAGGATGATTTAATTCGTCGGCTGCACAGGGAATGCTGGGACACAAACAAATAGATCTGCACCATCTCCCAAGCTGTACACCGAGCAGAGTGTTCAGCGAAGGGAATGAACAAGGCAACCAGGGGATGATTAATTAAGTCTGCAGATATACTGCCAATGATTGGAAACATGAATTACATGCAGCCCAGCCCTACTGTCAGCGTCCTACCTGGAGAAGCAGGCATGGCATCTCCAGAATGCTTTTTAAATTTCTCATTACATACTGGAAAACTGGCATAAACTTGAAAGAACGTAGTACATTTCTCGCTTTTCTACTTTTTTGTGACTTTTTCAATGTTTTAGCAGGATTGTGTGTTGTTTTCTGTGTTAATAGGTACAGCTGCTGGTGTTTTAATCAGGGGTGAAGGACATGCAAAGGTCTAAGCCAGGGGTCTCCAACTCCGGTCCTGGAGAGCTACTGTCCAGTAGGTTTTCTATCATACCCAGCTTCTGATGAGCCACACCTGTTCGCAGGTAAATACCAGGAACAGGTGTGGCTCATCAGAAGCCAAGTGGGGCAGAAAACCTACTGGATAGTATCTCTCCAGGACTGGAGTTGGAGACCCCTGGTCTAAGCAGTGCTTATGTCACATGCAGCTTATAGGTCATAGTCATGCTATTGCTGACTTTGTTTCGCAGTTCAGGCTCGGCGGTTGCAGAGTTGACTCCAAAGTATGATACAGATGCCAAAAATACAATTCAATTTCGAAACAGACCAAACTTGAAAAGCTTCTCTTTCAAACAAGCAGGCAATTCCCATATGACCTCTGTGTTGACCTCTAAATGACTTCTAAAGTACAGCTTGAATTTCTCTCATGCATGGGAACACTGCTAAATAAAAATTAACTAATATCAAATTTCCATTATAGTTATGTTATGTTATATACAGTATATATGTGTGTGTGTGTGTGTGTGTGTGTGTGTGTGTGTGTGTGTGTGTGTGGTCCAGATATACCTTACCTTGTGGGGACTAAATGTCCCCACAACGTGATGAATGCCCGTTTTTTTACCTTATGGGGACCAGATTCTTGGTCCCCATATGGGAAAACTCTATTTTGTAAAAATCCGTAACTGCAATGAAAAAAACTAAAAATGCAAAAACTCTTGTATTTTGTTTGGTTACTTATGGTTATGGTTAGGGCAGGGTAGGGGTTAAGGTTGTCATAGTATTAGTATTAGTATTTTTCCCATAGAAATGAATGAGCGGTCCCCATAAAGATATGTTTACTCAACGTGTGTGTGTGTGTGTGTGTGTGTGTGTGTGTGTGTGTATATTATTAAAAATCTATCTGATTTTGAGAAGCTAGCAAACAGATCTTCTTCAGAAAAAACATGGAGTGCAGCTGAATAGTCGCAGAGTTCTCAAAAACCCCAGTGACTCCATTTAGCATCTGAGGCTACATGTGACAGCCCTGGAATGGGGACCTCTGACCTGTTACCAGGCAAGGAAAAGGGATCAAAGCTATTCAGCCCATTATGCAGAAATGTTTGGATGGTTGAGGCAGCGGGTCAGCATCCCGCTTATGCGTTTAATGCCTACTGTAACACCCACGAGGTTAAAGGTCAGCTGCAACTCACTTTTAGCTGCTAGCTGCTAATCATGATGACATGGAGCATCACGACATCCCCAAAAATGACACAGGTTTGTTGTTCTATGGATTCAGGCTACTTGGACACTTGCATATAACTGTTTAAACTGCCACTTGTTTTCTACTTGGCTTAGTAAAAGCAGTTTCTGGCTGTAGACCATGGTGTAAACTATAAAATAGCAAGTCCTGCTGAGTGTGAGTCCTGTCTGGCTCTTTTTTCACAGCATGACTTTGCAGATTGTCGTGTATCTATCTGTGTGTCTGTGTGTGTGTGTGTGTGTGAGCGGGTTCACCTATCCTTATGGGGACATAATGTCCCCATAACGTGATAAATATCCGTTTTTTTTCCCCTTATGG